ATATATATACATACATACACACACACACACACGCACACACACACACACACACACACAGACACACACACACTTCTAAACATAATAGTTTTAATAACTCATTTCTAATAACTGATTTATTTGATCTTTTCCATGATGACAGTAAATAATATCTTATAAATAATATCTTATTCAAGACACTTCTATACAGCTGAAAGTGACTTTTAAAGGCTTAACTAGGTTAATTGGGTTGACTAGGCAGGTTAGGGTAATTAGGCAAGTTATTGCATAAAGAAAGAAAAAATATAGCTTAAAGGGGCTAATAATTTTGTCCCTAAAATGGTTTTTAAAAAATTAAAAACTTCTTTTATTGTAGCCAAAATAAAACAAATAATACTTTATCCAGAAGAAAAAATATTATCAGACACACTGTGAAAATTTCCTTGCTCTGTTAAACATCATTTAGAAAATATAAAAAAAGAGAAAAACATTCAAAGGGGCTAATAATTCTGACTTCAATATGAATAAGTAATCATGCTACATTTTTTGTTATATTTTAAGATGCTAAAAATATAAAGTATAAATGATTTAAATTACAATTATTTGCATGTATGTTTATATATATATATATATATATATATAGCATACATAACTATATACTGTAACATATTTCTAAAGGTGCAGATGTTGCTAACAACCAAAAATCTAATTAGTTTACAAACGAAGTTATGTGTTACAACATTGAAGTCTGTAAAATACTCACACCTGAGCAATTCATGACTTCATTATCTATATGAGAGGCGTGTTTAAGCTGTTAACTCTAAGTGGCTAAAAAAACCCTCCTAATTAAAATGAGTTCAACTTTGTGGTTTAAAAAAGGGTGATAAAAGTTATAAATAGTTAAAATGACAAAAAAAATTCCTTTCGGGGCACAACTGTTACTTTTTAAGTCAAGATATTTAATCCCTCTTTTTTTAAATTTGCCTGATTTTTGGTAAAAAATAAATAAATAAATAAATATTTTAAGTGACTAAAAAAAATCCTAATTAAAATGAGCATAAATAAATGGGTATGAATAGTTAAAATTGCAATTATCTCAGGGCTTAACTGTTACTTTTAATGTAATATCATTTAATTATTCTTGTAAATTTGGCTGATTTTTGGTAGATAATGTATTGTTATGCTTCATATATAATCTTTGACCAATTTACAAAAAATCATAATCATAAAAAACAATTACATATGTTAATTATTAATTTGAAAATAGTGGACCAAATGGGTGCAGTGCGCTGGGTTGTAACATCACTCCTGACAGCCAAATGTTAACTAAAATATTCAAACTTGTATACTTGCTATTGTAACAACAAAGTGTTTGAGAGAAGAATAAATTGTCCAAGAACAACATTACTTTCTTTCTCCATCAGATGCAGTTTCGCCCTCAAGAAAAAGCACTGGTGCATGACGTCTCCATTTGTGTCCCGGGCCCCATCTCATGGTTCAAGGCAGTTCCCCAAGGTTTATGGTAATCCACTGGGTTTACATTAGGAGCACATTAGTCAACTTTTATTTAGATAAGAGCCAAAATTTCAGTTCAGACCCTTTAAGGTCCTCACGAGGCATTTTCACAAACGAATTCAGGGTATTTTGCAAAGATTCCCCCCTTTCTTTCAATCTGTTTTTCGCAAAGAAATGAGAAGCACAGTTACAAAGCCCCCTGCTGAGGAGGTGGACTGAGCCTCCAGGCTGATCATATGGCCGGCGGCCTGATTCGTGCAGCTCTTGACAGATATAAGCAGCCCAAATTTCCCCCTGTTTTGCAGTCTGCTGCTCCATGTGTTGCTTATATTTATAGCCTTGGCTGTAGTGTCCGTGCACATAATAGTTTTAGCATCGCTGCCACATTTCCAATAGCAAACACTGCAGAGTGCTAGCATAGGATTGAAGGGTTTAAATATTTAAGTGTTTTTAAAGGACAGAGCTTAAACGAGGCTTTTAGTGGCTGTTGTGATTCTGTTTTGTAAAGATAAAGACAAATCAAAAGTAGAGGTTTTAAAGCTGGGAAATCAAACGAGAAAGACTTTTGTTTTATGATTTGTGTGCTTTGATGCTGCTGACATAATGGAGGGATTTAGTTATGACACACTTTAGTCCTACTTGAGTCATTTATCTGGATTTGAGTTAAAACAAAAGAGCAAAATAGATACCCCTTGTAGAAACCTTGTTTTAAAGTAGTGATTCAAATCAGTCTTTGCATTTTTTTTTAAAATCATATTGAGACGTTTGATAGAATATCCAAGCTGCTCTTTTGCATAATAAAAAACTGTACTGTCTGTCTCTGAAAAAGAAACAATGCAAATAGCTTAAATGACTTGTGGACTTTATTATATATTTGCTGTTGGTCACAATACATGTCAGACGCCATCAGATTTGGCCTCGATGTCCAATCTTCTAATTAACATTGAACAGAAATGTGATCATAAATCAATGAATTGGCTAGGATCAACCGAGGCTCATTCTGTACATTCATGTACACAGTACCCCATGTACATTTCTTGAGAGTGAGCAAATTACATCCCAGGAAATCCAATAGAGGCCACTGTCGACTGACTAACTAACTGACTGACCAACCGACAGACCACCCCCACCCTCCCTCTTCCCTAAACCCAACCAATAGTGTTTTCAAAAGCATTGATTGACCCACCCACCTCATTCCCTAAACCAAACCAGTGCTTTCAAAATCATCGAATGACCCGTACACCCCTTTCCTAAACCCAACCAGTGTTTTCAAAATTATCAATTGACCCGCCCACCCCCTTCCCTAATCCCAACCATTATTTTCACACTCATTGATTGACCCGCCCATCCCCTTCCCTAAACCCAACCATTGTTTTCACAAGCATCGATTGACCCGCCCACCCCCTTCCCTAAACCCAACCATTGTTTTCACAAGCATCGATTGACCCGCCCACCCCCTTCCCTAAACCCAACCATTGTTTTCACAAGCATCGATTGACCCGCCCACCCCCTTCCCTAAACCCAACCATTGTTTTCACAAGCATCGATTGACCCGCCCACCTCTTTCCCTAAACCAAACCAGGGTTTTCAAAAACATTAATTGACCCACCCACCCCCTTCCCTAAACCCAACTGACAGTTTTCAAAAGCAATCCAGAAAAAGAAAAGTCCCCTGATTTTTACCACATTTTCAGATTTTACCACTTTCTCACCCTGTTATTTACTTGTTCATTTTATTTTTTGGCTTCTGTTTTTGTCTTCACCAGACTTGAACCTCGTCGTTGTCAACTCCACTTTGCATCTCAAGTTTGCCAAGGTACGTGTCGAGCTACCGGACAAACTAGTAACAGCGTGAAAGCCGTGGTCAAAGTGGTCAGCTGGTAAGTGAGAAAAGGAAAGCCATCATACCACCCTGTAGCGTTCATTTTAAAGACGAAATGCATCCATACACAGATCTGGCTACATAATTCACGATCTACAGAAACGTATATAGGGCTACAATTTCAGAATGAGCCTATGTTGGCTAGGACAGTAGAAAATATTAAGGAAAACTTTATATCAAATGTATAAATGTATAACATCAGTATTTAAATATGCAAAGAGCTATGAAGTTCAGTTTGTTAGACTAAGCCAAGACTCAAACAATATGTATGACTTAATTAATTAATTAATTAATTAAATAAATTATTGAATTATTAATTATTTTTTTTATTTGTTTATTTATGTCAGGTCAACATCTTTTAAACAAGATTTATTCAATTGAAAAATAATGACAAACTGTCTTTTTTGTTACAGAAATCGAATTTCTGTTTGATTAAGAAATATTTATTACCACATATGACATTTTTTTATATATTTCTAAAAAGCACGACACAGATTTCACAATAAATAAAAATATGAAAAAATACTAAAAATAAAGAAAAATGTTTGGATTTCTTATCATTAATATTTTTATTTACCATATAAAATGTTTCAAATTTACCAATAATATAAAAATTTTTCCTCCAGGTAATGCATGTTAATCATCTTTCCATCACTGTCCAACAACACACACTCCAACAGTGGATGTAGCACAGCGCAGGACTCCGCAGCCGTCTGTAGAGTGTAGCCCTGGGTTACACACCGAACAATGGCATTCTTTCAGTCAACACTGGAGACACTAGGACCCAGCGAGGCTCTTCCTTCCTCATCAGGCTCCCTTAGTTCCAGAGCACAGCAAGTGGTCTCAGAACAGAGTGCAAAGAGAGAGAGAGAAAGAGGGAGGGAGAGAAAAAAGCTCAGTGAATGTTAGAGCCAACTGTGGTCACTGCTGAAACACTGAATCTGAGAGAAATGGAGGGATTAACCAGTCGGATTTAAAAATCTGGAGCTCATGCAGAGGCAGCCAATCAGGGGACGATCTGGATTAAAAAGGTTTGTGTGTGTGATTGATCATTCTTGCTGTAATGTATCAGGGCTTTCGCTTTTTTGTCAGGAGTCAGCAGCCGGTGTGCGAGAGCATTCGTGGGCATATATAGACGCCGCTGGGAGCTCCGGGCTGGTGAGTCTAGTTACGCGTGGGACATGTGCTACTTACGCCAAGGATGAAATATTGTGACAGCAGACTCTGAAGGAGGGCACGCTCCTGTCACAGAGGAATGGAAGTCACTGCAGCTGTAAAGTGTGTTTTTGGAAGAGGTCTAGACCGGGAGCTTGTCTTCTCGCTCCTCTAGTAGACCGCTTGATGTTTTTCTTAGTGCCGATAATGTAACATCTGTCCCTCAGGGGGTAGGGCACTCTCTCCTGGCTGTTATTGTTTGTATTTGCTGTTCTCAAGTTCAGCACCCAGGGTTCTGCACAGGGAACTTTGCTCCGAGACTTGTCAACAAATACAGCAGAGTGAAGTTTGAATCGACGCTCGCTGGGTGGAAAACAAGTCAGAGCAGGGGAGAAGAAGTGAGCCACATCGCTTCAAGACGTTTCACCCGCTTAAACCAAGGAGACTGCTGGGAAACTATGCAGTGAGCTATTGCTTGTGTGTGTGCACTGGTTTTAGTGGTTTACAAGTACATAAATTTGTTTGACCTAGGTATTACAACGTTGAGATGGTTTATGAGGACATGACATGTGTCCTCATAATTCAAAATGCTTCAATTTCATATTTATATGCCACAGGTTTCCTTTAAGGGTGGGGTTTAGGGGTAGGATAGGCCACATAATAAACACTTTTTACAGTATAAAATGTATTATGACTATGGAGAGTCCTCATAAACCACCAAAACCAATGTTTGTGTTTGTGTGTACTTCCTAAAATGCTTAATTGTGTTCTTATTCTTTAGGATAAGCAGACTTAATCTTACCTCTGTGCTGCTCATTCCAGATTTTTAAAGCTGAGCTTGGAAATCAAATCTTTTTTTGTTGTAATCTGAGAGTTTTAAGTTGCAAGGCTTCGGTTCAGCTGTCTTTTCTGTGCACGCTTGCTTGGATACAACAGCTGAAAGTCCTGTGTTGGATGCATGCTCTGTGTTCTCTCAGTTCATTTGCATTCATGAGCATTAAGTTGTGCTCATCCACAGTCTGCTGTGGATTTATTGTCATTAGAGCTGGACTCTGGTAACTCTGGCCATTCTGCTGAGCTCTGAGCTTTTTGTGGTTGTCTGTCTGCAAGTCTCTTTGCCACAGTGCTATAGCAAGTTCTTTCTGGGAATCCGAGATGCTGAGTTTGTGTTTTCCACAAGAGTTTCCATTTTTGTCTGAAAAAAAAAAAAGTTCTGAAAATACCTTGATAGCAGTGTCCCTTTTGGAAGAAAAAAAAGCTTGTGGCATTGAAGCTGTTTTGCTGGAAAAAAATGTTGGATTTACAACCTAGCGTCTAAATGTTTCTATAAATATAACCCCTGCACAATCAAGGACAGATTTATTTTGTTTTAAGCAAACTGGCATGTCGTGCTGCGCTGTAAGTTTTCCCTGACCCTCTGTTTCCATGGCCCCCTCATGTGGCCGCTCTTCACTGCCTATAGCACGAGCTATCTCCGCCTATGAAAACACGGCACACGATTGGCTGATCCTGCAGATGCACAGGAAGTTCAGGGTTTCTAATAACCACCCAGAGACACAGTTACCATAGAGACAAAGATAAGCCCCCTTACTGAAAAAAAAGCCTGCATGTCATCACTGCAGCCTGCAGAAAGCGTCTGCTCTCTCTCTCTCTTCTGCCAGTTCTCCTATTAGCAGCTGCTCAAACAGTACAGCCCCTGCCTTATGAAGGTTGCCTCAGGTTTTCTTCTTTCACCGCTCTTCAAATGCACTCTGCACTTAACGTGAGTTCTGCTTTGCTTTTTTTTGACAAACTTTCCGCAAATCTGCCGCTCGTGCACTCACTTGTGTAAACTTCTGGTGAGCGCGGCGCAGAAAGAACCGGAGGCTTTTAACAAATCTAAAGCGCTGACCCGTGCCCAGAGGGCATGTTGGTGCTTTTGTGTGCACCCTTTCCTGTGGTCTGCGCAGGCAGCAACGCTGTCTGTCTGTATGTCTGGCCAGAGCTATTTGTGGGATCTGATGTAATGGCAGGCTCTGTGTAATGTTGATACCACCGGCTGCATGTTAATTGATTTCAGGAGTATTGTCGAGGCTGTTAAAAATGCTGCCTCTCAGACCAAGAGCATTTGAAGGACTCAAGGCTGCAGCTTCTGGTTGCTTTGGAACAGTTGTCGGATTTCTTCCAGCAAGTTTTCCTCAACAGTTTGAGAGGAGGCTGTGGGGGCTGGGGTTGCATCGAGTGACGTGCCGAAGGGAGGCAGAGCCGCCGGTGAAAGGGCTTCCTGTTGACGGGAGTCTTGCGTTATCTGAGGAAAGGGCCTGTTGGCAGGAAATGTGTCAGCCGCTTGTTTTCTTTAAAGTAAGAGGATGTGTCGCGGATCGCTTGTTTCGTCTTCGGCGGGAGGTTCGGAGAGGGGAGGGAAATTGCTTTGCTCTGAACTTTTGTGAAATTCGATACATGTCGCCTTGACAATTTCTCCTCAGTTGGTGTGCGCCGCCGTTGTCATCACGGCATGCGAACAAAGCCCAGATCTCGCCTCTTGAAAGATCCAATATCCTCAAGCAAAACTGTACGCCCCACCATACGCCCTTTCAAATTCAAATGCCACACAAATTCCTGCCCAGAAAGTGACTGTTAAGAGTTCTGGATTGCTTGTCGTGCGGACTTAGCCAGGCTTGGGTATAAGGGGGTGTCCGTTTATATTCACAGCATGGCGAGTGCTCCTTCGAGCTCCCCATCTCTTTTGCATTTTTGGAGATTAAGCATCACAAGTTACTCAGTATGGTGGGTGGCTGTTGGCATGGGGCGTGCAGAGAGCTAGCATTATTTAAGCACGCTGGGCCTCGGGATGAGACCGGGGCGCCGTCCGTCCGTCACAGTTGAGAGGTGAAGTTGGCTGGCGAGGAGGTCAAGGCGCTTTTTATTTTGAAGCAGTGGAGTGTGGGGCTCCTCAGCGGTGCACCTCGTCTTCTTTGTCTGTCTGAGATCTTGTAACAACAGCCAGTGGCTTGTCAACGGACCGAGTTTCGCACCGCCCCTCATGAACATTAAACAGCACAGCAAATCGGAGAAGAGCGCTCGACGAGGCAGAGAAATATGTCAAAACATCAGAAGAGTAGACAGGCAAAAAAAACAAAACACCTGATGGGAAGAATGAGATTCAGAGTCAGAGTTCCGCTCAACGCTCGACTGTCACTCGTGTTCTCGAGCGTAAAGTGAATACAGAAATGGGAAGATTCAGATATTCCTATTAAATATTTTGGCTTGCGATTTGCAGCTGAGTTCTCCAGGGCTGTTTTCTTGTGATGTGTAGCGCAGCAGACCAGTGGAGTCTGTGATAAAGGTCTCCAGTCAAAACGCATCTCCTCATCGGGTGTTCTGTCGCGTGTGACTGAAGGCGTCACGTCCTCAATCAAAATGAGGCCATACGTTTTTACCTCTCCACACTATCTCCCCTCTATCGCTTTCTCTCTTACTGACCTTCAAGCTTTTTATTTTATCTCTATCCTCGTGATTAAGTGTCTGGAATGCATGTGATGATGGTGACAACCTAATGACTGATAGACCCTTGGCAGAACTACCTCAGGGAAACATGTAGCTGATTTCTGACTGAAAGCGGGCAAGCGACATGTTTTGAATCTCGTAAGTTAATCTAAAATTAATTCCCAATATCCTGGAGACCATATTTTCCCTTGCTTTAGTTTCCTCCGTGCACTGCTTCTCCTTATTTTGGTGGCTCTCCAGTTGCATAAGAGGGGAAAAAATAACTGTAAATTTGATGTAAACACTTGGGCTTCCAGCAGAGACAAATGAGAAGTGTAGCAGCTGCTGAAATGGCTGGCCACTTAGGTCCAGTGTGAGTGCATGACCGGCTCTCCAATGCACTGGAATTATATCCCCAGCCGACCGCTGCCGATCAAATAATAACAGACTCTAGAACAGTATTGACACTCAGGTTCACACCTGGGTCAAAAGGCCCTGTGCTGCAGGCAAGATATAGAGCATTGTGCCCCAAATGCTCACTCACTGCAGCGGCTGTTTACTGTGGCTTTCAAAACATTGGAGCATAAAGTAATGTTCAGAGCTTTTCAGAATGATGTGTTTGCTGTGTTGTTGGATTGAATGCTTGTGGTTTGTTCAAAACTAAGTATTAAACCGTTGTGTGTAACTCTGTTTGTAATACAGATTTTGTTATATGACAAAGCAGAATTGGGGTCCTGGAACTGTATTTATACAGTTTGACCAGATGACTTTGAAAAAAATGTATTAATTACCAACAAATACAATAGAGCAAAGATAAAAGTGCAATAAAGAGTGCCACTTTAAAAAAAAAAAAAAAATTCTCGTACCTTAATGGTAAAATACTGGCAGCAGGATTTCTAGCAGTGACCTGTAATCTTACAGTTTCATTATTGTTTTTCAAATTACGGCTTTTCTTTAATTTCACAGTGAAATCCTGGCAGCAGGGTTTGCAGCAGTGAATCATAGTCCTACAGTTTCATTACCATTTATTTATTTTTTTCAAATTACGGCTTTTTTTGTAATCTAACGGTAAAATACTGGCAGCAGGGTTTCCAGCAATGACCCATAATCTTTCAGTTTTATTACCGTTTTTTCAAATTACGGCTTTTCTTTAATTTAACAGTAAAACACTGGCAGCAGGGTTTCCAGCAGTAACCCATAATCTTACGGTTTCATTATTGTTTTTTTAAATTACGGCTTTTCTTTAATTTAACGGTAAAATACTGGCAACAGGGTTTCCAACCATTAACTGTAATCCTACAGTATAATACTGTGTTCTAAATTAAAAAATAGTTATGCATTTGTCTAATTACCCATTAAAAATACTTGTTTTTGTGTAAATACACAAAATGAAATTTTAAGTGGCACCAAATGCAGGAAAAGAATAAGTAGAAGGGGGTATTATAATGCACAATGCCTATTAATATGCCCAAGCAAATAATTTAATTACTGGTCATTAAAACATTGGAATAAGTCCACAGGCCAAGAACATTCATTCATTCATTTTCTTGTCGGCTTAGTCCCTTTATTAATCCGGGGTTGCCACAGCGGAATGAACCACCAATTTATCCAGCATGTTTTTATGCAGCGGATGCCTATCCAGCCGCAACCCATCTCTGGGAAACATCCACACACACATTCACACTCACACTCATACATTACGGGCAATTTAGCCTACCCAATTCACCTGTACCGCATGTCTTTGGACTGTGGGGGAAACCGGAGGAAACCCACGCGAACGCAGGGAGAACATGCAAACTCCACACAGGAATGCCAACTGAGCCGAGGCTCCAACCAGCGACCATCTTGCTTTGAGGCGACAGCACTACCTACTCGGCCATTGCTTCGCCAGGCCAAGAACATGACAGATTTATTCAATTGTGCAAACTTGGTACTGGTACAACCAGAAGTGGAATGTAATCTAAAATGGATGATTCTGTTGGGAGGTGGGTCATACATAAAATATAATAAACAAATTACAAGTATAGACAGATACAATAGAGCAAAGATAAAAGTGCAATAAAATGCTTTCTGGAGAGTCGAAAAGTATTCAGGTATAGAAATTGAAGAATCAGAAATAAATAAACCCTGCATGGTTTTCATTGTATAAATAAAAGTTGTATAATTATTCTTTATTCAATTTACTAATGGCATTAGTTCTTGTGCACCAGTTCTTTAAACTCTCTTGAAATCCTGACATAGTCACAGGCCTTAAAAACACATGGGAATGTTTAACCTTTACAAAGTTATGGTTAAACTCTGCATGGATTACACCAATCTTGGGTTCTGAACTGTGGCTAAAATTCCAACTCAACATTGCATGACTTGTGATGTGAATGTTGCGGATTCGCACATGGATATATTGAGGGTGAAACCATGTATTCTGCATTGCTAAAAGCTCATGTGGTTTTTCTGTCATGGTATTTTTGCTGTATTTTTTTTCTCTTTATCCTCCTGCACTCTGCTTGCCTTACTCTTGGGAACATGGATAGATAGACTGAAACCTGATCACACTAAATCTCCGATCTAGAGTCTGACACCCTTCAGGTAAAATCAGTCAACTTTTCTAGTCTTTACACAGGAAAATGTAGTTGTTTAGACTTCGTTTGTTCAACTAATATTTTACATCTTCAGTTTTTTTTTGCTTTGTCTTAGACTGAAAGATTTGAGCTTTCTTCCATTTAACATTTTATTTAGTAATAGCTTACAGTGAGAAGAAAGCAGGAGTTTTCCTTGCCAAATGCTCTGGTATCTTTGTGTGTGTGTGTGGTGTGTGATGATAGCGGAGACGGGCTGTGGTTCTGGGCCCAGTGGATCAGCGTTGTTCAAACTGATCCTATTGTCCTCTATTCTGCAGGCATCAAGGGCATTGAGAACTCAGCCGATGGACACGGTCTGTTCCAGCTTATAGAGAGAGACAGTCGCCCAAGGACACAGGGACACTTGCATTCTCAAATACAAATACGCGTACAGGTCATGTAGGAGTCAGCTTTCAGATGAAAAAAGTCTAATTTAGTTGATTGGAACAGACAGCAGCATTTTATGTACTTGGAGTAAGTGGTTTTCGGATCCAGCTGTAGCCTTCAGAGGCGGTTTATTAACAGTACCGCAATTCTGCGGTGAGCTTCGTACAAACCTGCTGAGTTTTCTGCTCATTTCAGAAAACTCCCAGCGGAGCTGATGCCCTGATTGTTTGAGAAACCTGACAAGTGCAAGACATCTCAGAGTTCAGCTTGAACACATCCTTGCAGGCCGGAT